CACGAAAACAATTTTGTCAGGATGAAAATATCTTACCAGAGGCGTAGACTCCTTCAGCTTAAAACTGAAACATGCGGCCAAGCCTACCCGATCTCAGGGATTTCGAGTATAGTAGAGTTGCTTGCTTGGGTTACTGAAAATCGCTAACACTTCATTCTAGACCGGTGACGCCATCCTCTACGCGATCGGAGAAGAAAATGTCGAAGCAGTCGAGATCATTATCGAACACCTCGAGAAGATTGACAAATTCAATCCTGAGGTAGAGGCTTTGGCAGTCAGCCCCATTTTCCTCAGAACCATGTCATCCTCAACCAAAGTTCGTCTACCAACTTTGCATTTCAGACCAATGGGTGTCGAGATTCAATCAAGCACCAGCTTTCCACCTGACATTACTCCGATCATCCTTGCCGCTCACAAGGTTTGGTTTTTCTAAAGTTTTCGGCGATGGGAATCCCTGAAAGCCATATTTCTCCTTTTTAGGATAACTATGAGTGCATCAAGCTGTTCCTCGATAAGAAAGGCACTGTACCGCATCCTCACGACGTCCATTGTTGCTGTCACGATTGCGAAGTGGTAAGGAAACACTTGTGTTTTCACCCCCTTTTTTTTCTTTTCACGAAATAGAACTTATGGGCATCCTAATTAGTTACTACAGACAAGTTTGTAAAAAACGTAAGATTGGTGGAGCGCTTTCTTGTTTCCGAAATCTTAGGTTGCGTTCATACTTTGCGACAGCGTCCACCAGCGTCTACCATCGTCCACCAGCGTTCACCAGCGACCGAGAGTAGAAAGTGTGGCGGAGTATGAGGGTACAAGATAGTTGCGTCTCAAACATTGTATTTGCACCGCCACGGTACACAACTGTTTAACAAAGAATTGTGCAATTCATTTATTGTGCGGTTCCTTCACTTCCCCATGTCTTCTACTCTCAATCACTGGTGAACGCTGATGGACGCTGGTAGACGCTGGTGGACGCTACCGCAAAGTATAAACGCGGCCCTATTTCCTCACAAGGCGATTACGAGCCAGTCGATTACCTCTGCCCTAGCCTTGCAAAGGAGGCCACCCACATCGGGCGCTCCGTCTCAGTATCGTTGAATCTGCGGAAGTGCGGCTGCAAGCATGTGCCGCAATAACTGGACGCTCTCAACTCAGTATTGTGCTTTCTTCTCTAATCCTACAGCCATTCCGTGAACTGATCACTTAGTTGTTCTTCTCCTAAGACGATAGAATTGAACGCGTTGAAGGAAATGTGAGAAAAGCATTTGCTTCCGCGAATATCATGAAATTCTCCTTCTCATCTCTTGGCCTTTGCCCCTTTAACTCAAATTGTCGGTGATGAATTAAATGCAGACAGCTATTATTGGGATATCTGTCTAGCATGTATTTGAGGGTGTACAAAAAACAATTAACTGGCTTATTGGCAGTTTCGCGAAGAGGATTCGCTACGATTGTCTCGTTCACGAATCAACGCCTATCGAGCGCTGGCTTCACCGTCACTCATCTGCCTCTCAGCCAAAGACCCGATTCTCTACGCCTTCGAGTTGTCGTGGGAGTTAAGACGTCTTTCATACATCGAGAACGAGTTCCGCAGTGAATATCAGGTGAGCCGATCAAGCCCCAGAAGGATGCACGCAGGGCCTTTCTATTATTTACGCGTAGAATGGTACTACAGTCTTGTTTGTTGTGGATGCTGGGATGGGGTCGGCGCGGCGCTAGTCCGTTCTTCTCCAACTGAGCGACAACAACTGGTTGAAAGGCGAGCTGGCGCCGCGCCAAACCCAGCCCCGTGATACGCCCCAACATCGGCAGCAAACAAGCTTGTATTTATTCTGCTTTGAACCAATCGGTAAATTTAGGAGCTCTCTCAGAAGTGCCAAAAGTTCTCGGTGAATATGTTGGATCAAGTGCGAGGGTCGAAAGAGCTCGAAATTGTGCTCAATCACACTACAACCGCCTGGCAAGAGGTTCGTGGTATCATATGCACTTAACGTGCCACGTTTGATTGAAGCACGCGGCCACGCCCACTGCGTCTCACGGTTTTCATTAAAATTTTTATTTTGGGACATTTGTAATCATGTTCAACACAGAATAAGATGACAGTTGTTTCACATTGAAATATTTCACGAGTAACCATCCTATGCCATGTTCCAGTAATGCCACACCTACTCCGTCTCAGGAATAAGGAGTTGATTTTAGGACTTGAGATTTGTAAGCTCCTCCACTCCGTTGCGACCCCCTCTCACAGGCTACAGAGCATCATACTAAGTTTTTCTAAAATCCTTCACGGCAGCGGTGAGGGATACTGGCAGGTCTGATAACTAGGCTACTCGAGTTAATAGTTTTGCCTAGTTGTTAGAGCCTTCCATTGAATAACTCAGTCATACATATCAAACTCAAATTCTCGAAATCCCAATACAATTACCAATGGAACTACAGTGCAAGGAGCATCCTCAGAGGGATTGATCGACGCGGAGATCCCGATTATTTTCTCACCAGGCATTAGATTTTCCGAAATCCTCCCCCAAAAATTCTCTGGCCTATGACATCTCACCATCAGTTCACTCTTCCAGGTGACAACAAGAGGCACTCCGACTACCGAACAATTAGCTCGATTGAAACTTGCAATAAAACTACGACAGAAGAGGGTGAGATCACTTCACCGGGCATACTGTGCCCCACTGAACATTTGGCGACTCATCTATTGTTTTTCAGTTTGTCGCTCATCCTAACTGTCAACAATTACTGTCCGGTATCTGGTATGAAGGACTTCCCGGGTTTCGAAATAGAAATATCGTCTATAAGGTCAGTTTTTTGTTGTTCTGAATGATTCCTCCACCCTTACATCGAATATAATCTCACATTATTTACCCTTTAGTCCCCTCTCCTCAAAATTCTCTCCAGATTTTGATGAAGACCTTTTGGGGTGGCTTAGCCCTCTGGAAACGACCCATATTTTTGGCTCGAAACCGCATAACGCCCACGTCGATATCAAAACCCACGAGACTCTAATAAGCTGTGAACCTGTCTTGAAGGTCCCTAGCCGATCCCTAAATGCGAATATTCTCATTTGCTTGGCGCGAAAACGCCCAGCACGGGAGCGCGAGCGTCGAAAGCTTACCTGTAACTCCGTGGCCTTTGACCTGCGCGCCAAGAACCTTCCCACAGGTACCGGGGATTCCATACATCGGGCTGAAGAGGTTGTAATGCCCGACTGCAACGTTTCCAGCACATTTGCTGCCTTGAGTTTTTGGATGCCGGTGCTCTTGACTTCAGGAGCTTCAGACGCTCAAGAGGTTTCGAGCCTAACAGGTCTTATATTCGGGTTCAAGGTGCTAACCGCTCCACGAGTCGTCAGCCTACGCTTAGATCAAATGTGCCCCGAAGGGCTAGGCAGTAAAGTCTGGTAAGAGCCGTGAATAATTGCACCTCAGATCCCAGCTTGGTCTTAGTGATAATCACTTCAAAAAGAAGGGTCATCGTGTTAGGGCGGTGATTTGTTATGTTTATTTATTTATTTACTTGTTTACAATGCATCGATAGGACGCACTATAGCAATATGGAATAATATACGCTCAACTGTATGCATTTTGAGGCGCTGGACTCGGATCTTCCATGCCATGTCCACAACTAATTCTGTAGACACGCCCCGTCCAAACGTGAGATATGAGCTGCATTTAGAGAACTAGAAGTTCACGTTTTCGAAATCTAGGCTCCAGTGTATTTTCTGGTGATTCTCATATGAATAGCACTCGAGCACGAGCATTTAGCATTAGCATTCAAAGTAAGGTGTGTTCAGCTGGCCGCATGCACTTGAGACCTTCACCGGGCTCGAATCGGGAAACTTTTTAGTGGATATTTCTTGAAATGGCGCACCTTCGACTATGTAATTTATTTTGCGTATTTCAGTGCCTCCTGATTGCAGCTGTTGGGTTATCGTTTCCAATTCTTTCAATTTCATATTTATTTGCGCCAAAATCGGCGATCGCTCAATTTACTCGTAAGCCTTTCGTGAAATTCCTCTCGCATTCCGCCAGTTATATCGTCTTCCTCGGTGAGTCCTTGCCTGCACTTATCAGTGTTCACTTTCCTCATTCGAGTGCCTTTTGTGTAATACTTTCAGCACTTCTACTAATGGCTAGCCAACGGATAGACCGTGTTGACAATATGTTTCGTGAAGAAAATGCTCCTTCCAGAAAAGAAGGACGAGGACCGCCTCCCACACCCGTGGAAATGGCCATCATTCTTTGGATTTTTGGTGCGTCAATTAGAGCGTCATTACAGCAAAATCTTTAAGGTGCGTGGAAAACCTCAGGGGAAATATGCCTGAAACGCCAGTCGTTGAGCAGAAGGTAACCCCTTTACTATTTCATACACCGTCACGAGGAAGTGGTTATAACAAGGATTGAGACCAGTACCCACTGCAAACGTCTCCAATGCATACTTACCTTGTTACGTCTGTATGAAAAAGTTCCAGGATATATGAGCAAAGTGCCGTTTTCGCACCCCTCACCCTGTGTGCTGGAGGGAATTGCAGTCTGCTGACCATTCGAAGCTTTATTCGGACTGAAATTGGTCCGCCAATGCTGGTCATTCGAAGCATTATTTGGACTGAAATTGGTCCGCCAACTCAAAGGCAAAGCCCGCGATCATTCGCCATCACAGATAGTGGATTAGGGGTTTGCATATAGACGACAAGGTGCTGAGTAACTCGATAGTGAAGAAAAAAGCAGAAAAAAAACATGTCAA